TCGTTGTCTTGGTAAAATCTAAAATCATCCTTTACTCCTAGATCCTCGGCGCTTTGAATCAAATTATCCTTTAGGATATTGAGATAAAGCATTTTGTCCATTGTTGACTCTATGAACTGAAGCCTTCCAACACCTGCAGCCGACATACAGGCCCACACCATTACATGGCCACCGCCATGCTTTACAGTCGGCTTTAGGTGCTTATCTTTAAGCTCTGTATTGGGCTYCCTCCACACATATGAACGTCCATCGGATCCAAAAATATTAAATTTGGACTCATCAGCAAAAATGACATCATTCCAGAATCCTGGATTCTTTTTTATGTGCTCCTTTGCGAACTTCAAGCGGTTGTCTCTATTTTTTTTATTAATAAACGGCTTCTTGCGAGCAACTCGGCCGTGAAAATTATGTTCTCTTAAAACACGTCGGACAGTTTCCGTACAAAATGTTTTGCCGGTTATGTCCTGCATCTCACTGGCTAGTTTTGGGGCTGAAATCCTTGGGTTTTTTTTTAAATTTTTTGCACAATATAGCGTTCATCAGTTTTACTAAAAACCTTGTTTGGCGCTTTTCTTCCTTTATTTTCGATGCGGTTTTCGAAAACGAATCTGTGGATAATGGCTTTTACTGTACCATCTGGTATATGCACAATTTTTGCAATTTCTCGTCGAGAAAGTCCACTTTTATAGTCTTTAAGGACTAATTCTCGTTGTTCGATCGTTGTGCGTCCTCCCATGGTTGTAACACATGCTTTCTTGACAAAATCCAATCAAAAGTGAAAATTCTATGTGCGAATGTAATATGCAAATTGTAAACAAAAAAAAGCACCGTTAGGCTAAGCTTCTTGGAAGAGAAGCTGTGCATTAAATGCAGTGGGTCAAATAAGCTGTGACATTGAAAAAATCAGTATTTTTCTTTTAAGTTGAATAAATATGAAACCTTTTGTGAATTTAATAAAATTTAAGCGCTTTGTTATTTCTTCAATATCTACTAAAGGAACTGCGTTTTTATTTTTTTACTATCTTTTTTAGTTAAAAATGTATACTCATTTATGTTTGAAAATATATGTTGGGTCAAATAAGCTGTGAGCCACTGTATATTAAACTTATACACGTCTCCTAAACCACTAGAGCTGCAATAACCAAATTTGCTTGTTGCAAATACTTGCACTATAAGAATGGACGAAATCGGGAGATAACCCCGCCCACTTCCCACATAACGATACTTCTCAAAACTACTAAAAGCGCAATAAATCATTAAATACGCCAGAGGCTTTAAATTTTACCCCGAGATAATGTGAGAGGGCTTTAAGGGAGCCGGTGGGAAAATTGGACAATGAGCGTGGCACCGCCCACTTTTAAGTAAAATAACATACCTCACGACTTGCTCGACCGATTTCAACCAAATTCGGTTTATAGCATTGTTATTTCACAGTGCGAAAATGGGCGAAATCGGTCTACAACCACATCTACTTCCCTTATAACACAACTTTAAATTCCCTTTGACTCTTTCACTTTTCAGTACACACATCAAGAAGTTATTAAGATAACGGGATAAAATTTTGCACTACTAATTTTTTTAAAGTAGGCCACCTTAAGAACAAAAAATACCCAAATCCAATCAAATTTTTTCAAACTTTTAAGTACCAAATACGAGTATATGGACCCCAGGTACCGATAGTGACTTTTGACCGAAAATATCGGTCAATGTGGGAGATATGCAGTAGAAATTAAGACAGAATCCTTTTATTGCAGTAGTAATTCTATGTATCCAAAATGGGTTTTTGAACTTCCCAGTGACTTTTTACTGGATATATTGGCCAATAATTGAGTTATCTCTATGAAAATGTTATGCTCATATTTGTATCGAAAACAGATAAAATTGGGCGAAAACTTGACCTAGGCCCCATATAATTATTATAAGAATTTTCGAACATTCGGCTGACTTTGCGCCATATGATTGGTGATTGTTTGTGGGATACCTTAATGGAACCCAGGGAACATTTTTTAATATGAATAATAGTGTAATAACTACTTGATAAAGCCAGGTCGATACTACTTACCCCAACACCCTTATACTACAAATGTACAGCTGTTGACAGCTAATTAGAAACGCTGCCTTTTTTGTAGGTGCCTGATGAGTAAGATGATAAAAAATTTGAATATACCGCTATTTGGATTCCTAAAAGTCTTGCATTGTTCGTGCTACTCTATTTACTACTAAATTCCCTACAAAACAGAGTGAAGTTAAAGATCAAATTCTTTTATTTTCTTTCCCCCCAAATAGTAAATGCGCTACGATATAGAAGGTGAATTAAGTGCGCAAGCTTATTAAGTTAAACAAGTAAACAGTTGTTTAAAGAACTAAAATTCCTCAAGGTGCTAATTTTTATTAATAATATTATTGATTTCTGGTAAGAGTGTTTTTCAAAGTTGTGGTTTTATTTAAGTTTTTTAATGAATAAAAGCCACCACCCTACGTATTAACATTACTTACTTACAAATTGGATTTCACGGCAGAACAGCTTCATGCATGCACTTCTAACTAAACTTCAAAGGAAAGAATGTGTAGACTTTTCCAACGCTTATTGATCTTGGACAACAAATAAATGGAAGTATGTTGTTTGGAGCGATGTAACCAAAATAAATCGCATAGATCCTGATGGTCGAAGGTATGTTTGCCGACCAATCTATTAACAATTAGATTCTCGCTATGTTTCACGTGCAGTGAAGCATGGTGGAAGATCAATCATGGTATGCGATTTTTTTTCCTGGGATGGTGTACGTCCGCTCCATATTATAGATGGAATTTTAAATAATTAGAAATACGTCGACATCCTAAAAAATGTCA